ACGGTCAATCCCACTATTCGTTGGTAAAAGAGTAGTCCAAGAGTTGGTGGTGAGTGGTGATGACTAGCTGCCTTCCTTCTAGTCTTACACTGCTAAATTAGGGACGGCAAGCGCAGATAGCCCTCGTGTAGCTTTGCGCGAAATTCAAAAAACAAACAATGTTACTCTTTTAAATACTGCCTTTTCGTCTTTTTACCGAGTTATGACCGAATGATCATGTTCTTCTCCACTCCCTTCACCTACTACTAGATCGTTTTGGACCTGAGCCCTTTCCCTCCAAATAGTCTCTGCAAGGTTTTATAATTAATGGCCTAAAATGTTGGAAAAAAAAAAAAAACTCTGCTACAACCCTCCAACTCATGTAGATATCTAGTTTCTTATTGTAAAGAAAAAATAAAGAAAGAATTACACATGATACTGTAAATTTATCATTTTGGTGAAACCCAGTTTAAGATATTTCACTAATATTATTATTCTGTAATTAGAATAAAATCTTTCGGATGAAATGCTAACATTCTCCTCATTAGAACAGTGGCCCTCAAGGTCACCCTGCGATTAAGACCAAATATCATTTCCCGTAATGGGATTTACCTTTGAATGTCGATAACAAAGTCAGGTTACTTAATTATGCAAAACATTTTATTTTACATGAAAATCATATATTACCAGTGTAGTACAAGACGTGGAAATTAGAGCATGAAAATAACGTTTACATTTGATCTGATATATTTAACTGATATTAACTTCAGAAAAATATAACAAGTTATGAAATTATAAATTAAATATATATTATTCATGTGCAAATATAGTTGTGTCACCTTTCATTAGTCTGGCGTTGTCTAATCTGCATACCATAATATATGTCCAATATCTGCTGTAAGGGCACGGCGTGATCTTGTGGTTAATGTGCCGGGCTGCAAATCTGAAGGTCGAAGGTTCAGACCACGATGCCGCTAAACACATTTCGCACTTTCAGTTACAAATGCATTATATAAGTAACAGTCAATCCCATTATTCGGTTCAAAGTCTGACAAAGCTTTTGTAATGACAAGCTTCCTTTCTCAGAAGCTTAAAATTAGGGACAGCCATACTTCAATCCTAAACGTATTTTGCCTGGCTGTTTAACTCATGTGTGCATAAGATTCCGTTCAAATTGAAAATACCAATATCGTAAATACATGCCTACTGGTATGTCAGTAATAAGGTTATAAACGCAAAATACTAGAAGCTGGAGTTCGATTCTCAACGGTGGACAGAGCGCAATTACTTTATTGTTCAGCTTTTTGCTAATATAACAACATTGTAAATAAACAATATATTTCTGAGAGTGCATCAAGTTTTACACATGAAAGTGTAGGCATTTGAAACAATTTTATTAATTTTATTTTAAACATACCAATCTTTCAGCTTAATTACTTAAAAGCTGTTTTTTTTTATGATTTTATAATAACCAACGACGTGACAGGCTATATCAATAACTGAAGTCACAAAAATCAACCAAACACTTATCCTTAACTATAAAATAAATATTTTCACACATAAATTAACCAATAAAATATGTAAACACCCAGGTTATACATGTGCAAAAATTTGACCATTACATAAGCTATTTCAAAAATTTATAGCTTTAAAATAAACTTTTTACGAAAGATAAAGTAACTCATCTTCACATACATTTTTCTACAGTTTATAACTTATGAGCATTACTTTTTACTCTTTGATTTTTAATTGAGTTCTAGTCAACTCTGTACGACACACTAGGCCTAGCGTATTAAATGTTCAATTGGTTGTTTAACTTGTTACCAAAGTTATTTTTACCGATGTCTTTCAGTATTTCTTTAAATTATTTTCTCAATATTATGTAAAATTTATTCTTACCATTATAAAATTGTAAAGCAAAAATTTTCTTGCTGATTCCTCTAAAGAAGGGCAATAGTAATGCTTTGCAATCTTGTAAATTCCTACACAGTTGTCTACTCTTAGCTGACACGACAGAAACCGACAACATTCTCGTACTATTCCAGCAACTTGAAACTGATCAGCTGCTGGAAGAAGTTTCTCTACATTATTTGAAGTAACCGAAACGTTCCTAGTGTAAGCATACTCTAAAATCAAACTCATAATTTCGGCAGTAACGTTTGGAATCGTAACGTCTTTTATTTCTTCTCCTGATAAGGAGTTAGTAAATAAAGCTCGAAAGAAAGGTCCAGCGGTGGAGACGATTGCTCGATGAATCCAAAATTCTCCACCATCAGGAGTCCTAATCACACCATCGCAAAGCTGCCGTCTCTCACGAAGCTCATCAAGTACAGAACTCATGTCTTGGAAAACATCTCCACTTCCTGACATTTTAGGATATAATAGAAAATCTGAATTATGGGTGCTGTTATTTTTTTTCTTCCCTACTTTTTCTGTGATACTTCCGTCTCGATCTACGACCTCTTCTAAAATTCTCAGCATTTGTAAGACAACTACTCATGGTTTGATAGGACAACCGTTTCCTTCAATAAATTGCATTTTCGGAGATCGAAATATTTTTGATTTTTCTTGAGCCACGTGGTTTAAGTGTTCTTGCACGACATTTTATAACAATACACAAACTGACGCAATAATATATTTATAATATACGTTCAAATTGTTAGATAGATTGATCTTAAACCTTATTACCAAAATCAAAAAGAATGATATATGTATTTTTTGATAAAATGTTGAAATTATCAATACGTTTTTGGAAATAGAATCTAATATTACTATAGTTACTAAATCCTTACGATTAATCTTTGAAAAGTATACTCTTATTGAACAATTTTAAACGTACAGATAGCACCAAGCTATATGTTTATTTTAAAAAGCCAATAACGCGGAAAATTTAAAGTTGAAAAGTGTGTGTAAGTTTCGTATAGCATAAATGTACCCTAACCTCATCATATTAATATAGCATTTGACAGTAAACATCTAAAAACGTAAAGGAGGGAGGAAGAGGTCTAAATGATATCTGACCCTCCCAGGTCAAGCACAACACAACCGAATACCGACCACGACAAGATGCAAATTCAGACAGCATGGGATTCGCGCTTGTACCTCGTAAGAGAGAGGGCGTACTTGCATAACACTCTCTAAAAAACCGTTATACACAGTTAAACCGTTAGTTACTAACGTGTCGCGGGTAGGCTAAAATAACAACACATATCTCTAATTGATGACGAGCTGGATTAATCTGGTGAGTGGACAACGGAGAAACTAGTGAGGCGAGGACAACAACTTCGAACTAATTTCAAAATTTCGTCGATTGGAATTACAACAAAAACCCATACAACGATCGCCAAAACCAAGAAAATAAACACATCAACCAAGACGTAACGTAACACTGAAGCAGGGTTGTTAGAAATGGCCTCTTCATGTACCGTATTTTTCGGTGTATAAGACGCACTTTTTACCCAAAATATGATGTCAAAATCTGCTTGTGTCCTATACACCGAAGGTATGAATAATATATATGTATATATACGATATACACAAGCCATGTGTAAATATATTTAAACAGGCATGCATAGTTTTAGTTCAATTGAATGTGTTATTTATAACAATAGTAGTTTTTTTTTCTTTTAAAAACATAACTATTTATAATGCTCCCTAAATAATAAAAAATAAATTATAGTGAAAGCAATGAAGATTTTGTAGGTTTTGAACCAAACTAAATAACAGTAGACGTTTTTTGATTTACGGTATTTTCTTGTTTTGAGCTCTTTACTGTTTAGAACAATATATACTAATTTTTAAAGTATCACATTGAATTTTTATTCGATAAAAATCTTTCAAAGGCGACTGTAGCTTTTTTTCCCTAAAACTTTGTCTTCAAAATAAGGGTGCATCTTATATTCCGAAAAATACGGTAAGTCTAGTCTAGGTGGCCTTAGTAGTAATACGAAATCTAAATAAGGATACAAAACTAAGAATGAGCCCACAATTAAATGCCTTAGTCGTAGTAGCTAAGAAGGAGTTCGTAAATATTAAAAAGAAAATAATAAAGACCCTATAGATACAAATAACACATCGCAAGTAAAAAAAAATACATAGTGAAGAACGTAAAAGTACGCGCATCGTAATGACCAATGGAAATACAGACAGCAAAGCTGAAAAAAAAAACAACGCAAAGAGTAAACAAAGAAACAAAATCATCAAATGACGGCATACAAATTAATACCACCTTGGTTATTGATAAACAAACAATATCACAACAAACAACTTAAACATACTTACAAGTTACATACTGATGGAGATACATGAATACAGACACAAGAAACAAGACACACACATGGACACTGATATATTTACACTTGTCACGCCTAGAAACAAGAACTTTCAGCGAATAAAAACAAACAAAACACTAACACACAGGC